ACAGAAAGCACTCAATGAAGAGAAGCCATGTCTACATTTAGACAGGGAGGTGTGCCTTGCAGAAATTAGCCTCAATATACATTGGGTGCCCACTATATGTTCCACAATTATCTTAAAATAGTACTCAGATCCTGGCAGAATTTACTTTCCAGTGGGAACAAGAGATAAATAACAGGTGCTATGAGCTGTAGCAAAACAATGAGGCAGAACAGACTCTGGAGCCACCCACCTATTTTCAAATCCCAGCTTGCCCTTAGGAAAGTCATCTAACTGCTCTACTCACTTTCCTCAGTTGTAAGACAGAGCTAACAAGAACAATGACAAAACTACCTCATTGGGCTCTGTGAGGATTAAATGAGTTAATATGTGTAAAAGTGCTTAAAGCAGTGCCTAGCTCACAGGACTACATAAGCACCAGCTAATATTAACACTATTACGTATTAACTCCTAGGAGGAGAAATTAAGTCTCCCTAGAGGAGTCGAAGAAGCTTTTTCTAAGGAGAGGACATCAGATCTGGGCCTTGAAGGATGTGCAGGAGTTCACTAGGTAAAGAGCAGGGGAAAGGACATTTCAAGGGAAGAAAACAGTCCAAGCAAATGAGCTGACCCATGGAGGAAATCATATGCATTGAAACAAACCAAACCTAACAGCTGAAGCCTAGGTGGGTGGCAGATGAAGCCTGAGGCACCAGTTCTGGCCATTAGTACTACAGTCCACCAAACTAGTCAGTCTTAAGTCAGACCTTGCCCTGATAACTTCCAAGAAATGATACCATATCAGAAACCAACATTTTAGTAGCATTAACAATGTTTCCCCAATGAAGCAAATAAATCCAATTTATACTTACCATTTACTGGGCACTACAGTGCCAAAACACTATGCCATTTACAAAAGGACCTCACTTAATCTTTACCATGTCCTGTGGAATACAGATAACTTCATTTTACACATGAGGAAACAGGCTTTTAAGCAATATTCCCAAGATCACACAGATAGTATATTGGAAAATAAAGTGTTCAGCTGCAAATACAAATAGTGGTTTCTTTCTCCCACTGCCCCCTCCCTGCCACATAAAACAAAATCTGAAGGTAGGCAGTTAAGTCATCATTAGTTCAGTTATTCAACAATGCCACCAAAACACCTTCCATCTTTCCTCCCCACCATCTTTACAGTATCAGCCACTGGCCCTGAGGTTTATACAGACTCCCATTCCCTACAATGTTTTCTTATTCTTGTCTTAAAGTCCTACCAGTCAGGATTTTCTCAAGCTTTACTTTTTGAAATATTTCAGAGGTCAGCTCAATACAACTCACTAATTTCACAGATGGGGAAATAGAGAGATTTGCCCCTAGCAAACTAGCAGAGTTTATTAATTAGTTAAATGAGCCTGGAATTGAGTGCTCCTTCCATTTAGTGGGGACTGTAAGTTGCCCACCAAAACCTGTCCTCCCATTCCTTCTTGGCACATGGCTTAACTACGTTTCTCAGCCTTCCTGGCAAGGTAGGCGTGGCCATTGGACTAAGTCCTTGCCAATGGAAAGTGAGAATGTATGCAGAAGTATCCATGCCACTGAAGGGTCTAGGCCTTCAGGTAGGAGGTCTGCCTCCTCCCTGTTCCTTTTCCCCTTCCCATTAGCTGGGACCAATGATGACCCAGCTTTAAGCACGCAGCCCATGAGGACAATGCTCCAGAGGATGGAGAAGCAACATGATATGAGGAACCTGTGTGCCTGAATCACCATTTGGTGCAGAGCTGCCCCAGTGACCTGAACCGCTCACTTCAGACAGGTCAATTCCCTTCAGAGCTGTTACCTGAGAAAGAATAAACTTCTTTGTTCTTTAAGCCACTGTATCGTTGAGTCTCTTTGTTATAGCAACGTAGCCTTTTACCTGAACTAATGCAAACATGCAGCTTCCTTTGTAAGCATTCAGAGCAGCTTTACAAATAACCAGGTAGCCATCATTTTAGAAAACAGCCTTAACTGCCCAAGTAGGTGATAATCAAATACTGAAATTCCTGCCAGTGGCTATCCCAAAATTTCTTCATCTTGGTTAAAGGGTATTTAACTATTGAAGCAGTTAAATAGGTCTCACTTATGTAGAGACCTACTTAGTTTTTATGCTTTCATGCAATTTATTTAACAAATATTTGACTGTTTCTAGGTGCTAGGGATACTGACAAGTCACTGCATTCATAAAAGGTTGATTTCATGCATGTGTGTCTAGGGGGAGGGGGTTGTTAATTTTATTTTCTTTTTGAGCAACACGGTGTTGCTCTGCCACCCAGGCTGGAGTACAGTGGCATGATCATGTTTCACTGTAGCCTCAATCTCCCAGGCTCAAGCCATCCTCCTACCTGAGCCTTCCAAGTAGCTGGGACTATAGGCATGACCCACCATACCCGGCCTATCTATCTATCTATCTATCTATCTATCTATCTATCTATCTATCTATAATCTATCTTATCTATCTATCTATCTTATCTATCTATCTATCTATCTATCTATCTATCTATCTATCTATCTATCTATCTATCTATCTATCTATCTATATTTTTTAAACAGACTGGGTCTCACTACGTTGCCTAGGCTGGTCTCAAACTCCTAGGCTTCAGTGATCCTTCTGCCTCAGCTTCCCAAAGCGTTGGCATTACAGGTGTGAGCCACCACTTCTGGACCGTTGTTTTTTAATGTTATACTGTGTGTTTTGTTTTGTTTTAAGCAAAAAAATCCTATTTGGAACTAAAGAGAGCTAAGAGAGTACAAAAAATTACTCACTGCTAGGAAGGATCAAGCCATATTCCTGGAATACAGATGAGCTGTTGTCTTGCTTAGCCCTAAGAATCAAGCAAAGTATTTTCAGGTCTAAGAATCTAGATCTCTCTTCAGAATCAAAGTACTTTCTACCCACCTACAACAACATTGCCTGAACTGTAAGAAATATCTAAAGCCTAATCAAGATTTTTACTGACAGAAGCAGGTGAACCTAATAGCTCATTGAGTATTGGAATTAATTGCCAAAGCCATTTAGATAGCACTGCTGGTGTGATGGACTGGAGGCTCTGGGTACCTGGACTGGAGGGCTCTGCTTGCCTGGAGATTGCTATGGCCAGATGGTACAAAATGGCATTCCTCATTCTCACTCCAGGCTGAGCAAATAGCCCAAAGCTCTATGGTACTTTTCAGCTCTCAAATGAGATTTGGTATGAGATTTAGTAATAGAGTAAGAAAGGTGATCTAAGGTTTGTCCTGGCTTTGCCGTGCTCTGTGACTGGAACATCCATATTTTAGGCCTCAGTTTCCCCATCCATACAAGAGATAAAGGATTCTTTCATCTCTACATTTATGACCATCACAAGACAAACTATTTTCCTTCCCTACACTTGACAGCAAAGTCATTCACTGGGGAGCAGGCACAAAAGGGAAATCTACTCAGGGCAGTGCCACAGCCCAGAGCGCCAGGCAGATTTCTAGTGAGTGTTCTGCCTTTCCCAGGCTCTTTGCTGCTGATAAAGGAACTTCATTTGGTTGAATTTACAATTTCTAAGAATATGAACAGTAGGCTCGACCACAGTGCCTTACACTTAGTAAGTGCTTCATAAATATTAGACACTTTGATTTTTTTTTGTAAAAAATTCCTGATTTCCAATTGCCATAGAGATAACAATGAGTTCAATGGGAAGTTACTGCTCCAAGTATTTCAGATGGAAGAATTAAAGGCTTTTTAACGTACAATGATTAAAACTAGTTTTTCCTGCTTGTCTACTGAAACTTTTTTAGGCTTTAAAACAAATTTAGCAACTTGAAGGAAGAATATTTCAGAGAAACTAAAGGTTCTTCCCTACAAACTGCCAGCTTAACACAGTGCTTGTCTACGAACTGCCAGCAAACTGTCTACAAACTGCCAGCAAAAGGTTCTTCCCTACAAACTGCCAGCTTAACACAGTGGTTATCTAGCAGCCTCACCTCAATTCCAGCTCTACCACTTGCTAGCTGTACTCCACTGCTGAGCCTTAGTTTCCCCCCAGTTAACAGCAAAGAAAACAGCATTTCCCTCCCAGGGAATGTGAGAAGATAACGTATAAAAAGAACTTAGCACTGCTTGGCTCACAGTAAGTACTCATCTCCACTCCCCCTGGGAAGATGTGGCTTCTGACCTTGTTAGCTCCTAAAGTAGTTAATAAACTTCTTTGCCCAGAGAATAAATTTATTTTTGAGATTCAAATGAGTTAAAGGTGGGTGAGGTTCTGGAATTCAGCACTGTTTAAAAAAAGGTCAATCAAGTTAGATAGTTTTTTTACTCTGCCTTCTCCTCTGTGAAGTCTTACATGCATAGGAAACAAAACATTTACCAACAATTGCTTTTCAAGGTCCAGCAGAAATGCTCCTCCTTCCATGATCGCTTCCCTTCCTTCTAAACTGAAATTCTACACAGCTCTTGTGGCCTTTGATACTCTCTTGCCTGGATTGGTGTTTGTGTACACATGCAATTATTTATAAGCTCCCTGAAGGCAAGAACACATCTCATCTCTGCATTCCCTTTAGCCTAATTCAGGGCCTCTCATATAGTAGATTCTGCACAAACAAAATGTATTTGAATGGGGAATTAATGCTTAAAGGGCACAAAGTTTGTTTGGAGTGACAAAAAAGTTTTGGAAGTAGATAGTGGTAACGATTGCACAACATTGTGAGTGTAGTCAATGCTGCTGAATTATACACTAAAAATGCTATATGTGATGTTATATATAAATAATAACTATTTAATATTGCTGGCAGCACAGGTCACTCCAGAAAGAGGGCTTCAACTGGAAGTAATGGATCTCCAATAAAAGACCCTCTCTAGATGTCTTCAAGGACTATAATGTGCTAAATAAACACCTGCTACATAAATGGACAGCATGATCTACGAAGAATGTCAAATTTGAGAAAAAGCTATATCATATTGATAACAGAGCATACTGTGTATAAACTAGACATGGACTTGTATGTCTTTTTAAGGCTCTTGTAAATTTTTTCTTTATTTAAACTTCAATAAAAATATAGATTTGTAACTCAATAGAAAGACAGCAGTGATAATAACTCACATATGAGCAGCTTGCAAATTTCAAAGTCTTTGGTCTTCAAGTCCCATGTCACAGCTTCCTCAGTCTGATTCCCTCCTTCTCTGTAGAATTCCAAGAACTAGTTTGCTTCACTTAATCATCTCAGTGGGGATGGTCCTTTCCTGCCATTCACTCAAATCTAGAACTCCCAATATGTGGCTCACAAATACTTCAGTCATCTACAAAAGCATCTGGAAATCAGATAATTTTAGCCAGAATCAAGGACATAAAAATTCTTTAAAGGGATGCAGTCAGTCCTGGTATTCACCACAAAAAAAGATCCTCATGTATAAAAATGTGGAATCTGTGCCTCTTTTAATAATAGAACCTTTAAGATTCAAAGAAAAAAAAATGCTTTCTTGAACGACATCATTTCCAGACACATCAGCCATACAAGGAGCTGACAAGACCTGCTGTTTCTATTATAGAGAACATGAGACTTTAGAACACGCCACTGAATGAAAGCAAATGGTGGGAGCTTTTCTGCTATGCACAAAATTCTGCATAGCACTCCTCTGCCCAGACTGGGAGACAGACATACCCCTCCCTTCAGAAGTAGATCCCCGCCACCTTTCCAAAGGCCACTGGACATGTCTCTTAAAAGCTGCATTTCAACTCTTGCTCATTCTGCCCTGAGGATCTCTTCTCTTTAGGTTCTTTGTCATGGTCTGGGGAAATGCTCTGACTTTCTATGGTGTTGGCAGCATCTGAATCCAACCTTCTTCTTCTCTTCAGTTGCTTCAAGTGGGATTTGGATTTTATATGTGCTGATAAGACAAAACCAAATCAAACAAACAAAAAAACTCATTAGAATGCTCTAGAATTAATCTAGAAGCAAGTAAAATTAACTATACAATGCTTTTCTTCAACAATAAATAGCAAGATCAAAACATGTACGGGTATAGCTGCTTAGCATTTTTAAGGGAAGAATAAATTATATGGCCAGCGAGCTGGCAAAAGAGAGTGAGCTACCACATAGCAAGTGCTCCCTGCCAGGTACTTTACATCACCAATCCTCATGGCAGTCTTGTAAGATGGTACTATTCTGCTCATTTTACACAAGGGAAACTGAAGTTCAGAGAGGTCTTACAAAATGTCCAAGGTCACACAGCAGGTAAACTCTTCTACTTAGACCCGTGGCTTCAAAAAGAGATCCCACTTTCCAGAATCAGGTCTCTGTAGTATGGGGCTTCCTGTTACAGATACATTTTTAACTTGTAAGGCTGAAAAGTTAGAAATTCAAATCCTCTGTATTGCAGGGCATTGCCTGTTGTCCTTCCTGGTGTGGCATCCCTGTGCCTGGGTCAAAAAGGTCATGTGAACCACTCTCTGGCAAGATTCCTATTCTCTAGGCACACACTGCTCCAGGGATACAGGAAGGTGCATTTATCACTGACAATTTCTTCCGAGGGTTCAAGGAGGAAGTCAAGCTAAAGGGCCACTGTTGCCTGCTATCAACTGCGGACCTGTCACCCCTAAGACAGTTCCCACCTTATGACTAACTTATACAGGTTTATTTTCACTATCCTGTTCTTTTTTCAAGGAAATCTCATCTGGGAACACCGAAAGAGATAGACAACTAGTTTAAATTCTCTTTTATACATATTAAAAACATCATTTTGAAGAGTTTAGAAGTAAGAATAAGTAAGGTAGAGGTTAGAATTAAGAGAAAAGTTTACTTGGGGAAATAAGTCAGCTTTGTTCTCCAGCTAGAGCCTAAGGCAAAAAATGGGCTTCTGGGCTGGCTCTCCATGGCAGCAGGAGATGGGAGCAAGGACTTGACAGATGGCACTACAGAAGGGCTTACACAAGCTAAGCTCACAAAGGCTCACACATGTTGCTTCTCTAAGGCTATCCCTGAAGGACATTCAACAAATCGAACCACTAAGTTTCCTTTAGAAAAAAACAATCAGACACTCTCTTTCTCTTCCCCTTTCATCATTATAAACCAACGACAATCGAGGCTTCTTCTGCTGGTTGGGCAATCACAGCCATCCCCAGTCTCTGACAACGGAGTTCATTTTGCCAGTTACCAGTTAATAGACCTAATCATCCTATTGGTTGCTTTGGGGAGAAAAATCTACTTCTCTGAGAATCCCATGCAAAACAGTACTCTGAACAGAAGGATCCCAGCCGCTGAGTAAACGACAAGCCCCACTGTGCCTGAAAGCAGCAAACCTTACACCTGTTTCTAAATACCAAGTAAACTCAAGGCTTGGGGGAGAAGTCCTGGGCTTTGACTGGATCACTGCAGAAAACTGAAAATCCAACGATGTGTGTGCAATGTAACTCTGTGGCAGAGGCAGAGCCAGGCTCTAATGCAGGGATACAGAGCCTTAGGGTGGGGCTGGCCCTGAGGTGGTGGGGAACTAACCTTCTTTACACATGTGTGACAGGCTGACTTTCACACAGTTTCCCTTAACATCTTTTTATCACAGTTTTAGCAACTACCACTATGTCAACAATTACCTCAAAGGTTACTGAAGAGATACCACTTTTAAAAACCACACTGAGGAGGAGTAACTGTACTTCCTGCCCGCTCCCAGCTATGCTTCTGCTTCTTCCAGTCTCCTGGATGAGCTGCCTGGCTTCCCTTACACCCTTACTTCCTGATCCCTCCCCCACTGAATTATAAACATGAAAGGCCAAGAAACTCCTCCAAGGCAGGACCACAAAGTCAAAGGAGCTCTAGAAAGTTACCTGCAGATCTCTTAGTATAAAATATTAATTCCAGCTGAAGATGGAGAGCATTTGATTTTCCTCTGAATCTCAGAATACAGAGACAACTCCCTAGTTGGGGGAAGCCTCCAGTGAATTTGAGCACAGGCTCTTAGAGGAATCTAGCTGTCCCTTTACAAATAAATAGACTCCAGGTTCAATCTGCCAAAGACCTTGAATTTCATGAAGTCAGTGTGAACCCACTCTTATAGATTACTTCATGCCCCTCCCCATACTCTACCTGCCCACTCGCGATCCCCAATGATGATTCGATCACAGAGGTCACACATGTGATAACTTCTCTTGTTCTCAGCTTCATTGTATGGCATCTTTATTGGAGTGGCTATAGGCTTGCGGCCCTAAAAGAACAAGGGTGGAACGGAATATTCAATTCAAAGAGATCTGGATATAATTCTCTATTAAGGGAAGTGGGATTTTCCTAAGATTCCTTTTTCTCACCCCAGAGAGCAGATGGGTTGTATACAGATTTTAGCAACAACCTTTCTGAATGTAAAAGTAGAAAAGCAGTCTCCAGGTACTGAAAAGTAGCCAGCCCTCTGGCTTTATTCTATGGAAAAGAAGGCCTGGTTCTTCAGTATAGCAACAAAGGTGTCAGCTAACAAAAGTGCTCTGAAAACCAGACAATAGACTGTATCATGATTCACAATTACCTGGATGAAACTTTGCACGATTTCAAGAGCAGGTTCAAGAACAGACTCTTCCCACTTCGAGACATCAGATACCTCTAAGCCATAGACAGAGGGGACACTGGGACCAGGTCCTAATGATGACAAAGAAAGGTTGTGAGAGGTCAGCCTCAAACCCAATCTATTCTGCACCCAGGACTCTGAAATCCTCCAGGGAAATACACAGAGCCAAAGGAGTAAACATTCTGACCATGCTATTCATTCTAACTGAAACATGAACCACAATCCAAGAAAGACCTAAAGGTTTAACTGCTCTGCAGCCAATAAGACTAGCTACATAATCTAGATACATGGGTGCAGGATCTTCCAGATCAGCCAGGAAACCAGAATAGAGTTAACAGCTCAAGGGACCATTGTGTGAGCTACAACACAAAGACAGCACATCATAAGAAGAAATAAACTAACAGCTTTAAGTAAGTGCCTATTCTAAGTTCCGTATCATCTTACGATGATGGCGATCTGTGGCAAGAGAATTCACAGCTTTAGGAGCAGATACTAGTCTCAGGTTTGCATATATTCCCTCAGTGGCCTGGGATTCATGAAATGCTTTGACAGCATGGGCTGGGAACAGAATCATATCAGCCAATAAGCCACAGAATCTGCGAACCAGAAAGAAACCTTGGAATTGATGTAGTTGAGCAACTTCTTTTAAAAACCTGATCTAGAGGGTATTCAAGAAACACCCCCTGGTAGACACTTTCGAAAGCAGATGAGACTGAAAGTAGCAAAGAGTGCAGCTACAGGTATTTCACCCACCTGAGCCAACCATGTTGCAAGAGTTTAGTCTCTGCAGTTAGCTTCCCTGCCTATGTACATACTAAATTGCCTTCCACAGCTAGGTTAATTCAGTTGCCTAAAGGCAAAGAGCATCACCCATAGGCAAAAACATCAAAGGCCTTGGGATGCCAACGACTGGCAGGTGCTGGCCTTTTGATTGTGCCAACCACAAATAAGATTCTTGATAGACTGGACTGGGCTGCACCTGCCACCACACGGAAAGGTGAGACTAGGAGGGTGCAGGCAGCATCCACAGCACACCTGGCCTTGGCTAAGCTCTGCACCTGTTTCCAGGCCACTCTACATTTTCCTTTCTCCTCTAAGCCCTTTGTTGGGCTTCTGTGCCCTGTCTAAGCACCTTTCAACAAGTTCTCGGCTCCCAGCTGCTATTTCTGGCTTGGGTCCAAGGCCAAGCTGGGGTGGGGAAGTCCCCCTGGCTTCCTGCCAGAACCATATCCCAGCAGACCAGCCCTGGCCAATCACGCACAGCTCCTGATTTACAGGGCAGCTGTGCCTTTCACTCAGCACCAGGACGATGCCGGCATACACACGAATGAGGAACGGGCATATGACACACTGTGCCATCAACTCCTCCTGCCACAGAGATGGAGGAACTATTGTGGTTTTACTACAGGAAGAAGTTCTAAATTATTATCAAAAAGTCTTCTGTTACAGGCTTATTGTCAGACATGGGGAGAAGAGAAGTTGCATTAGAAATTTGTAGTACAGCACTGAGCTTCAACTTCAGATGACACTAAGACTTCTATCTACCAGGACATGCAGAGAAAACAGGATAAGTAGAAGAAAGCATAACGAGCCTCTTCACACCAGAACTCCACTGGAGAGCTCAGGCAGAGAGTGGGAGCTGGGAGAAAGAATGTTAGCAGTTTAGTGGTAAACAGCAGGGATCAAGGTATATATTTTCAGAGGCAATCGAGTGGGGCAGACGCTTCAGCTGGCCCTATCTGTAATTGAGAGCAGAAGTCTACCAGCAAAAGGTAAACACAGGATGATTCAGAAGCATATTTAAAACGTGTCCACAAGATAAAACTGAAGTTTCACTTATGCTTAAATTAATCTCCTTTCACTCATAACCACATAGTTTTTACCCACAGTCCAATACTAATGCTGTCTTGCTAAAGTTACAGCTAAGGAAGTAAGAGTAGCAGTATAAAGGAGTGTGGACTCTGTGTCAGGCCTGAGTTCAGTTATCTACTGCCGACTAGCTGGGTGATTTTTGGCAAGTTATTTAACTTCACTAGGCCTTCATTTTCTTATCTGTAAAAAGAAAAGAATAACACCTACCTTGAAGACTCAATAATATATGTATGGCACCAAATTTAGCGCCAAAGACACAGTACAGGGCCAAATGAATAAAAATTTCCTTTCTTTTCCTTTAAAAATGCTGTTCAATTAAAGTTTCATTTGAAGCAATCTGAAGCACCATGTGGAGATGCTGGGAGAAATGGTGAAGGTGTCTTTATACTACTCATCTGGCCCCCAAAAAACATTGTAATTAGGAAATCTTCCCTACAGAAATCTGACTGCTCTTCAGGTACGAAACTGAAGCTAAAAATCAGCCCTGAACACCAACTCTCCTAAGAAGATGCTGCTGTTGTTCTTAGCTGTTTGCAGCCAGTATCCATCTGTTCAAGGCAGAAGGCAGACTCCTCAATGCAAACAATTTTTTTTTTTTTTCCTGAGACATCACAAGAAAATATCCCTGGATAATCATTTATGTTATAGAACTTCCCCTAGGTCAGATCCAGAATCTCAGAACAGGCCCGGAATCTAAAATTCATTTTCTGGGTGAGCTGAGGACATCTATATTCTATTGAAAACAGACCCATAGTATAAGGAAAAACATGAGACTTACTGCTCAAAAAACGGTTTTTAACCCATCGGTTTTGCTTCCGGGCATATCTCTTAGTTACTTGTTTCAGAGCCTCGATACCTGAAAGATACAGTAGATTTAACAGCATCTAGGTAAGCACTCCTTACCCTGCAGAGAGGCAGGCCCTCCCAGCCCAGCAGGAGAAAGTCAGTCATGGCAGTACAATGTCAGACTTGGTGGACAAAAATCTCAATTCTGAGCTGAAGGCAACTTGGGACGCTTTGAGCCTTGGCTCTTTCTCAGACCATACCAGCAGAGTACTCTGCCACCCAAAGATGTCCAAGACTAGGTCAGATGGAAGAATTCACACCTTTCTTTAGAAGCTGGTCACTAGTCTCCAGTGTGCATTTTCCCTCAGTGATCAGGTACTCGTGAAATTCCTTGAAGCCAATTGATTGGAAGATACCATGTTGATAGTCCTGGCTGGGAATAGGAGGGCATCAGCAGATGAGCCATTGCTCCTAAAAGCTAGCAGGCGCTTTGGAGATGGACCTAGTTGAACCATTTCATCTGTCAGATAAGGAAATTGAGATCCTGAGCAGTTACTGATTCTCTGAAATTTTCCCCTCCCCTACCCACCAGGTTACTTTCTTAAAAAGTTAACTCCTGGGACTGTCTGAAAGATTAAAAAACTACATCTGTAATGAAGGCTGATAAACAGGTAGACCCAAAGCTAGTATTAGCATTATGGTCTTTTGACTGTAGGCAAAAGATGGACAGTAGGTCAGAATAACAGCCAAATCCTCACCTATTTTCTGAAACATTCTTCTGATTATAGCGTCTGTGAAAATCTCTTAGTTCCTCCAAGAGCCCAGCAGCAAGCATGTCATCCACCCTCTTATCCAAGCGCTTATCTAGAACTTGAATCAAATCAGCCCATCAATCAGCAAGCAAGTTGTACGTACCTACTATATACTTACATCATGAGTGAACAGGTGGTCACAAAACAAAGAGAATTTATCCAAATAGAAGAAAGAATTCAGATTCCAAAGATTATTGTAATAATTCATACTTTATTTACTCACATTTAAGACTTTGCAGCTCCAAATAAAAACAGCCAGAATGAAGCACATGCCTCCTCATCATATAGAGAAAGCATACAACTACAGCAATTGTGAAGGACAAATATTTTATTCTCACATGGAATGTATATCCCAATGTGTTTTAGAGGTGGCTGAGGATCCCCTGGTTTACCTTTCTTATTTTTAATTTAATGTGTCATTACACTGTAACTCAGTGTTACTTTGTTTAAGAACCCCTAGATAACACCTCGGATAAGAATATGGAACTTTCATCCAAAGACATCCTAGATACATTCTAAACTACTGAGCCAAGCAAAGGAGCAAAGAGTGAGAGGTCGTAATTGTTCAGATGTGACAAACAGCTTTACTATGAATCAGACACCATTATTTTATGCTGAATTGTAGAGCAGAAGATTTTATTTATAAAATTTCATTATTGAAAAATTCCCTTTTTAAATCAATTTATGGCAGTTAATTTAACAACAGATAGTCACCATTTTAATTATATTCTTCTACATCTCTACCATTGCGATTTATTGGCCTACAGCAACAGTAACCTTCCTAGAAAGTTTGCATTTATTGAGGACCCGTCATGTGTCAGACACATTCTGAGCACTTTACATGTATTAATTCATCTAATCCTTAATGAAGCTATGAGATATGTACTATTACTATTATCTCTATTTTACAGGAGAACTGGGACACAGAAAGGTAAACTAATTTGTCTTACAATTCACATAACTAGAAGCCAGTAGATCAGGAATTTGCTATTAGACAGTCTGCCTCAAGAGCCTGTGCTCTTCAGTGCTACACTCTACTGTTTCTCCACATAATGACGTCATCTTTTCAGGTCTATCATAGGCTACCTTTGCAAACTGGTCTCTGACTTCCCCCAGATAATGTTCGTCATCCCTTCTCTGTGACCCTACAGCACCCTGAAAATATATCTAGCCCAGCCTTTGTCAAATAAATAATAGACACACAGATAGTATCTATCTCCTTGTCTGTTGTCTCACTAGACTGGGAATTCCTTAAGAAAAGACACTGCCTCTTCAACTCTGAAAACGAAGTACCACACAGAATACCCAGCACTTCACTGAATGCTTACTGAACGTTTGCTGGATGAATAAGTTACTACTATCACAGGGCATAATTATACTTTAGCAACAAAATACCATCAGGCTAGCAGCTAATTATAAGGCGTACTGCTTCTAGAACATTCTAGCCTCCAGCCAACCTTCCACAAGAGACTTCCTTCTTTTTCTCCTTTGGACTTCCCTGGATGGCAGTCTCTTTCCCATTCTGTCCATCCCATCCCACTCTACCCATGATGTCTTCTCCTAGTGCCAGGGCTATCCTCTCTCCCTTTCCAAACAGATATCTAGGGGGAATGGCACTGTGCCTAAGTCAACAAATAATGATAATGATAATAAAGTTAATAGCTAATACTTGTTTAGGGTTTATTACGAGCCACCCATGGTTCTAAGCATTTTCTATACAGTAACTTATTACTCTAAGTTCCATCACAGATGGACTCTAGGGCATCAAAGGGCTGTTACCTGCCTGGTCAGCATGAAGCCAAAGGATGCAAGGGTTAGAGAACTTCAGAGGACCTCCAAGGGGACCACCACCTTCTTCTGTATGTTGACGATGGAGAAATTCACTATGAGAGATTCCTGTTTCTTCAAAAACTTGCAAGCTCCTAAGTAATTTAAAAGGGGAGGGAGGGGGCACACCCATAAAAACCAATAGAAAATATTCATTCTCAGGTAAAACAAGGAGAAAGGCTGTTTATTATAGAAAGCCTCATTCTTGAAAGCCAGGCATGACAGTGTGCGTGTCTGTAGTCCCAGCTACTCAGGAGGCCAAACTGGGAGGACTGCTTGAGCTCAGGAGTTCAAGACCAACCTAAGCAGCAACAGTCCCTGTCTCTTCAAAAAGGGGGGACACAGAAAGGCTTAATCTCATTTTCACTGCATTAAGTTCCAAAAGACATGAAGGTCTAGGGTTACTCCAGTCCTACAGCTACTTAGAAAAGGGTACTAAAGAAAACTTTAGGTAAAGTAAAAAATAATTCTATTTTTCTAAAGATACATAAATTATTCTGAAATCAGTTAAATAGGTTCAGAAACAAGAGATTTCTTCTATACAAACAGAATGGTACTCACTCCCTTTCAGATAAACAGTAAAAGAGCTTGTTTGGGACACTTTGTAACAAGCCAACAAGTCTGGTCTCGCTGGCGTGCCTTTCCCACAGTACAAAAGCATGTTGTACGTCCAGCTCATCAGCTTTCTTTTTTAAATATGTCAAATTAATGAAGAATGCTCCTGGCTAATCCAGTGCTCTACTGGCACAAAGATCACTGAGAAAAGAACTCACATACTTATTCTTAAGCCACCATCCACTTCTGTCTGTATCTATTATGTTATGCAGCACTAGGTAATTTAACTCCCCAATCTATACTCTACCACTTTGGGTGATTGCAACTTATCAGCCTGAAAGTGATCTTTCTCTTCCTGACCCAATTCTACTTCCTGAAACCCTAACGCAAGAGTGTAGACCCCTTGTCTTTCAGTATCACTGGTTTCTCAAAGAAGATCTATGAGAAAACAATGTAGGAATAGATAATATCTCACTTATCTGGAGTTAAAATACAGCCTCAAGCCAAAAGAAAGATTAAAAAAAAAAAAAAAAGTTCTCATTCTCTAAATGAGACTCTAGAGCTCTTGCTTAGAATCTATTGACTCTTACTAAGAAAAAATTCTCAAACTCATTACTCATTTAGAAGCAGCAAAATGAGAAGAGGTGATAAGAAAGAACTGACTAGTAAAAGGAGAGAATAATAAACACCAAGCTGTAGAATCATGTAATAAAACAATATAAAAATGAATGTTTATCATAATGTTCCTAAGTTTAAAAAAACCTGAATGTTTTCTATTAAAGTGTTTAAAATGTTTGGATACTGAAAAGTATAAACTTCGTTAATCTAAAACATGCATTCTTAATGGGGTTATATTGCCTTTAAGGGGGTGAGAAAACTTAGATAATACAATTTGTGCCCCACCCGCTCGCCGTGCAAAGGACAACCCTACCTGAAGAAATCCTTTTCTTGGCTGAGTACTGTGACTCATGACTATAATCCCAGTACTTTGGTAGGCTGAGGCAGGAGGATTGCTTGAGCCTAGGAGTTTGGGACCAGCCTGGGCAACAAAGCAAAACATCTCTACTAAAAATTAAAAATTTTAAAAACTAGCCAGGTATGGCAGTGCACACCTGTAGTCCCAGCTACTCAGGAGGCCAAGGCAGGAGGACACCTAAGCCCAGGAGGTCAAGGCTGCAGTGAACCATGATCGTGCCATTGTACTCCAGCCTGGGCAACAAAGTTAGACTCTATCTCTTAAAAAAAAAAAAAAAGTAATAATAATAATGAATGTTTTAAATCCTATATTCTAACATTGAGTTTCATTGAGGGGGGTAAAATCAGGATGAAAAATATCAAATTCATTTCAGTGGAGTACTTCACAACCCCTATGAATATGAGATGTTACTTTAATATTTAATCTGCACAACCATCAATAGAGTAGGTCCTTCATTAGATGTTCTACTATGCCAGAAGTGGTATCACTCCTAATTCTGCAGAAAAATAAACCTAACATGAGGCTGCAATTTCAAAACAACCTAAAAAAACATGACCTTGTGAGTTCATTCACTACTTTTCTTCCCTACCAGATAGTTTCCATGTGCAAAGGTGAGCTGATCTGTGAGACAGTTTATAAAATCCACCTCCCACTGGGAAAGCTGCTGGGGCAGAACACGGCATTGCATAATCAATTATGAAATCCAAATCACAATGTAAACAAACTGCATGCCAGAAAAAATGTATATGAAAACTGTTATACAAGCAAAGATCAAATAGAAAATGAAGCAACATTATATAGGCCCTAGGGGAAAATGATATTGTACTATGCATTTAAAACGTAACGAAGTAGGGTGCAATTATTTATTGAGGGAGCTGAACTGAAGCAATAACTCAGGGCCTCCCAACCTGCTGAGTTAGAACAACACATCCATCTCCACTAACTGCTATTACCAAATCTCTCTCATCACCTGGGCAAACCGACGAACTGACTGTTCCCTAGTTGTAAAGGAATTTGGGGTCAGCAGGCCAGGCTTTCTTACCTGGCCACTTTGCGTTTGTCATGTGGATGCAGCTTGGCGGCCATTTCTGGGTCCACCTGGCTTAGGCGTTTGTGAAGTACAAGACCATCCTCCTTTTCAAGCTCCACTTTTCGGTCAATCACTTTCTCAGTGCCCATCTGCTGGGGCTAATAAATGATGGTTTAGAAGCAAATTTAATTCAACCAACACTGAGACAGTGTACGTGCCAGGCACTTTGCTAAGTGTCAGGAATACAGAATAATCAGAAGATCTTGCCATACAGTGAGAGACAGATCATAAACAGAAAATTCCACTATGCTGTGGTAAGTGCTGTGAGGCCACAGCAAACAAAAAAGAAGACTTACAACATAGGGAAACACTTGGCTATTTGCTTCCTTGTCAGAAGTTCAAACAGGTACCAGGGCTAATACATGTATTTTAACATACCCAGGAGTCTAGTCTTCTCAGCAAGGGTGAACAAGGAGACCAGGATTGCCAGCAAATTACAGTTTACACAGTCTTACCCTACATAGTAGCACGTATGTAAATAAGGTCAGTGTTGGACATCTCCCTGATATACATACTGTGCTGCCAGCCAGGAAATACTGAATCAGGCTAATGTACTGGGTTTTTTTAAATATAATTTTTATAAAGAATTATACATATTTTATCTTGAATCACATCTCTCTCTCACTTTATTTATTATTATTATTTTTTTTTTGAGACAGGGTCTCGCCCTGTTGCCCAGGCTGGAGTACAGTGGCACAATCTTAGCTCACTGCAACCTCCACCTCCTGGTTCAAGTGATCCTCCCTAGTAGCTGGGATTACAGGTGTGTGCCACCACGCCTGGCTAATTTTTGTATTTTTAGTAGAGATGGGGTTTCACCATGTTGGCCAGGCTGCTCTCAAACTCCTGACCTCAGGTGAGCTGCCCACCTTGGCCTCCCAAAGTGCTGGGATTACAGGAGTAAGCCACCACGCCCGGCCTAATGCACTGTTAATTTATATGGAGATGCTAATTAATCCACACAGCAACATTTTTCCCACACACAGCCCCTTCCCATAGACCAGCCTGGAGGAACTCACTTCACATATGGAGGTGGCATTTGCTTGAGAATATTAAGTAGGAAAATTATAGTTGCTGAGTATAAGAAATAGGCAAGAGTCAACCTTTCTCCCACTAAAATTAGCCAGCAAGAAAGAGCAACCCACTTCCTCAGTGAGTTACAAGTGAACTAAACTTACCTTGGTATTGACAAGAACTTTCCAGAGCAGAGATTCAATGTAATAATTGGTTCCTCCCACGACAATAGGAATTTTGTCTCGAGCAAATATATCTTCAATGTGAACATTAAGAAAGATACCACGATATTAAATATCAAGGGAATCCTGACTCACTTGGGAAGGACACTATTAGCAAGAAACCACATTCATTTATCTGCAGAGCAGAGGAGAAAGAGGGGGAACCAAAATGCATTCATACCAGCCCTCAATGTTTCCAACAAATTTCCAGAATCATGTCCAATCAGTTCTGGAGGGACTTGCAGAAACCAGAGACAAATGCATAGTGGTAATTCCTTCCAGTTCTAGAACTTTCTAGGTCTTGCTGCTAAAAGTCAAAGTTTTATTAGTATTCCAAATCAGTTCAACAAGCACAAGCCCGAGGACTCTCAAAGAACCAAGTGTCAGGTGCTCAGGAGGCCATCAAGGTGGCATCCATTGCGTGACTTTGCCTTCTAAGGCAAAACACAAGCTGGTTTCCCTAAGATTCTTAGACTCAGTCAGTCTCTACCATCAGGAGAGACTATCACATTTTTGCCACTTGAGGTTTCACCAAATTAAGTGAGATGCACAGGTTCTGAAGATAAATAGACTTTAATTTCCAGGTTCAGTTGTTGGGCAAGTTACTCAGCCTGTCTGAGCTTCAGTTTTCTCACCTGTAAAAATCCCCATAAGAATTAAATGTGACAATGCACAGAAATCCCCTACCACAATGCCTAAAAAATAATAAGCACTCAATTTACTTTAGCCACTATTGTTTTTATATCTCTGCTACTTTACATTTTTCTCTTTAGAATCTCCATTGAACAGATAATTATCTGCTTTAAGAAGGCCTTCGCTCCTGAGAATAATTTTTGTTTTTTTGAGACAGGGTCTCACTCCGTCACCAAGGCTGGAGTGCAGTGGCGCGAAAACAGTTCACTGCAGCCTCGACCTCCCAGGGCTCGAGTTATCTCCCACCTCAGCTCCCGCCGCCAAGTAGCTGGGACTGTAAGCATGTACCACCACACCTAGCTAATTTTTGTATTTTTTGTAGAGGTTAAGGTTTCACCATGTTGCTTGCCCAGGCTGATCTTCAACTCCTGAGTTCAAGCAATCCACCCACTGCAGCCTCCCAAAGTGCTGAGGTTACAGGCGTGCGCCATTGTGCCTGGCTGAAAATAATTTTTTTAAAAAGACTTTCAATATCCAGGAAATAATCATTTACACACTTCTTCTCCTTGTTGGCCAACTTGCCAGCATAGAAACAGACCACCTCATTTCTACTAGAATCTCACTAACCCTTAAGCAGTTAAGCTGGAGTGGGAAGAAAGATGTTATCAATCAAGGATCATAAAGAGAAAACATCGTTTGTTTTAAAAAGAGAAAACAAATTCTCTAGTTGCCCCTTTAAATTAAGTATAGGGAGCAAAGTGGAAATTGTATACAAGTTAAATATCCCTTATCCAAAATACTTGGGATCAAGGAAATGTTTCAGATTTTGAATTATTTGCATTATACTTACTGGTTGAGCATCCCAAATCTGAAAATCTGAAAACTGAAATGCTCCAATGAGCATCTCCTTTGAGCATCATCTCAGCACTCCAAAAATTTCAGATTTTGGAGTCTTTTGGATTTTAGATTTTCAGATGTTCAACCTGTAGTATGATTAACAAAGGGAAAGTGAGCAATGAAAAGGGGAAGGGAAAAATGTTAAGATTCCAGAAGAGGAGGGAGTGGAAAGAGGAAAGAAGATGGGATAGGACATACTTCACGGGAAAAGGTTTAACTTATTTGTGCAAGCCATGAAATGACTGTGATATTGAACAATCACCCTTCTACCCTTTGGGCCTCAGTAGTTAGTACCTTCACCTGTCGAATCAAGAAGGCTGATTGGGGCCAGGCGTGGTGGCTCACACTTGTAATTCCAGCACTTTGGGAGGCCGAGGCAGAAGGACCACTTGAGCCCAGGGGTTCAAGACCAGCCTGGCAACATAGCGAAATCCATCTCTACAAAAAATAAAATAGCCTGGTGCGGTGGCTCACACCTGTAATCCCAGCACTTTGGGAGGCCGAGGCAGGTGAATCACGAGGTCAGGAGTTCGAGACTAGCCTGGTGAAACCCTGTCTCTACTAAAGATACAAAAACTTAACCGGGTATGGTGGCGCATGCCTGTAGTCCCAGCTACTCGGTAGACTGAGGCAGAGGAATCACTTAAACCTGGGAGGCAGAGATTGCAGTAATCCGAGATTGCGCCATTGCACTCCAGCCTAGGTGACAGGGCAAGACTCCGTCTCAAAAAATAATGATAATAAAATAAAAATAATTAGCTGGGTGTGGTGGTAAGCACCTGTAGCCCCAGATACTTGGGAGGCTGAGGTGGGAGGATCACCTGAGCCCAGGAGGTCAAGGCAGCAACGAGCCATGACAGTGCCACTGCACTCTAACCTAGGCAACAGAGTGAGACTGTCTCTAGGAGAAAAAAAAAAAAATTTACACTTCCATTTGAATCTATATCTGGGTTTTCTATTCTGTGCCACAAATACATCTAGTACTAAATGAGTTCCATGCTATTATAATTATTATGACTTTTCAATCTTTTTATAGCAATCCAGATACTAAAGGCAGTCTGCATGTTAAGACATAAGGGCAATCCCCCTTACATTATTCTTTTTGCAAAAATTTCTTGGTTTTACCCAGAACTATATTTTCCAGTCCTCTCCCATCTAACAATCCCTTTGAAATTCTAACTATAACTCCATTATATTTATAGATTAACTTCGTATCTCCATTTAAAAGATAGAAAACCGAAGCTCAGTGGGGTTAAGGAAATGCTTTACCCAGTAAAATTCACATGGTAAAAAAGGCAGTTCTAGGACTGTAACACAAATTTTCTGATTCTTAAATCAGTGTTCTTATCACTAAAACAGTGCTTCTCAAATTTTAATGTGCATATGAATTACTGGGGACTCCTGTTATAATGCAGACTCTGATTCAGTAGGTCTGGAGTGGGGCCCAAGAATCAGCATTTCTAACAAGTTTCCAGAGGATGATGATGCCACAGTCTAAGGACAAGAATTTGAGTGACAAAGACACTGTATCTTTCAGTCCATAGTCTGATGGGGATGGCATCTATCAGTAGTTAGGCCTTGGGTGCCCCTTCTGAGAAGAAACTGCCACTAGAAGGAAAACTTCTCTCTTGGCTTGGGCTGCTTTCACCCACCAAACCCAGCTGCTGCCTTTCCTAAGGATATCAGAGCAGTTGCTCTATTTCTGAAGTCCACCACGGTGTAATTGGTCACAAGAGGATCCACAAAGCTGATCATGTGGTGCCGGCAGATTCTCTGCTCTTGGGCAGAAACCTTGTTGGTGATGATGTCTAGGCCTTCATAAACCTAGGGGAAAGAAAATTTACATGAGAAAGTCAACCACATCCATACAAAATGCATACTTATGAACAGAAATATTAATCTGTTTCTCCCTCCTGCCAAACACTTCACTGACCCAAAGCACCAGACGTATTCTAACAGAGGGCACAGTCAGATCCAAGAAACCCAAAACAAAGAAAGAAGAAAACAGAGCATTGGTTTTCTTATCAAATAGTAGCTATTAGCTCAGATTTAAAGGTAAGAAGGATATGTAAATACATGCCCAGAATTAGTAAAAACGAATGCTGCATGGCCAGAACGTTAAAGCCCTGCAAATTGGGCAGGGTGTTTTATTTATTTTGTTTATCACAAGACTCCAGAAAGGTAACATTTTGCATTCATTGCTCATAGTTCTACTTCAAAATGCTTAGGTATTTCTTGGATTTAAATGGCTCGAAAAAGTCTTCAGAATTTGTATAAGATTGGTTCCCTTTGTGGAGAAGGAGTCTACAAAAATACACAGAAAACATACATATACACACTTTGAAGTCAGAACCCCTAATACTGCTGTACTCTAGTGGAAACATTGTGATCTATCAAAATTACTGCTTCAGGGGTCAGCAAGGACAATCTCAATACTCAAAGGCAATATCCTGTCTGTGGGCTCTTGATCTGCCAATTCGACTAAAACGTTCAAGTGTACTTTTTCTAAATGCAAGGTCTCCAAGAACAGATCTGAAAATACTAGTTTGAAAATAGGGATGAATACTTTGAGATTAAATGTTCTCTGTAATCACTGATTCTACAGGGAGCACTGAATGAACAAATAATAAGTTCTGTAGAGCCCACAAAGATGTTAAAAGCATTTTTATCTCACGTTTCCCTTTACTTACATGGGTGTCAAATAAGTACGGTACAGTGTAATGGTTAGGAGGAAAGACCCTGGCGCCAGGCTGCCTCAGCTCATGTCCTAGCTCTGCCACTTACTAGTTATTTGTAGTTGGAGAAGTCAGTTACTAACCTCTCTGGGCCTTAATCCCTCATCAATAAAATGAAAATAATAATATCTATCTCATAGGGTTGTTGTGGGGATTAAATGAGTTACTACTAAAAAGCACTTGGTTTTTGCCTGGCACATTGTAAGGGCCGCGTGAGGGTCACTACTACCTAATTGCTGTCATTATCACTACTACTATCACTATAACTAAAAGAGAAAGGGAAATAATTTTAGTGTTACTGTTTAATACTCAGAAACCTCTATGCTCTTAGCGACTGAGGTCATTTACCAAGCACGGATATAAGCTATCTTCAATGAAATAAAATCAGTAAATAGTAAAACAGCATATAAATAAAAAATAACGTAAATTAGAGCCATAAGGAGTATCAATTCTGCCTTTTAAACTCATTTAATTTGTGCCTGACAGCAGACTCACATTCTCATACCTGAAAATTAATGGAATCATAAATCATAGAGTATTCTTTTCTGTGTATCTTGAACAAGACTTCCTTCTAATGTTATACAAGGTCATATGGTTATTATACACTGCTGTCTTCTGTGCAAATTAAGAAAAGCAAAGGGGAGGCCGGATGCAGTGGCTCATGCCTGTAATCCCAGCACTCTGAAAGGCCAAGGCAGGCAGATCACGATGTCAGGAGTTTGAGACCAGCCTGACCAACATGGTGAAACCCCATCTCTACTAAAAACACACAAAAAATTAGCTGGGTGTGGTGGCGTGTGCCTATAATCCCAGCTATACTCAGGAGGCTGAGGCAGGAGAATCGCTTGAACACAGGAGACAGAGTTTGCAGTGAGCCAAGATTACGCCATTCTAGCCTGGGCAACAGAGCGAGACTCGACTCCATCTCAAACAAAAACAAAAACAAAAAAACAATGAAAGAGGCCAGGTGTAGAGGCTCACACCTGTAATCCCAGCACCTTGGGAGGCTGAGGCAGGCAGATCACTTGAGTTCATGAGTTCAAGACCAGCCTGGGCAACATGGCGAAACTGCGTCTCTCCAAAAAATGCAAAAATTAGCCGAGTGTGGTGGCACACACCTGTAGTTCCACTACTGGGGAGGCTGAGGTGGGAGGATCCTTGTGCCTGGAAGGCAGAGGTTGCAGTGAGCTGAGATCATACCACTGCACTCCAGTCTGGGCAACAGAGCCAGACTTTGTCTCAAAAAAAAAGAAAAGAAAACTAAAGGGAGGAAAGAGTTAATAATAACTGTTTATTCCTCTCTGTCTCCCTCTTTTCCCACAGCCCTTGGTTGACTCTGCTGTAGCTTAGAATTCCAAATGATCACATTTTAAAGAGCTCACATAGCAACAACTTGATTTTGCTAGTAGAGGATTTCTAACCCCTGTTAAGTATGTTACGGTAAAAAGGATTCTAAATTTTTACACTGAGATTAATGTTAATTAATGTTAATCAGTGTCAAATCCATAGCTGCAAATGTACAATTACCCACACTTCCAACAAGGTCAAAATATAAATATCTCTACCAGCACCTTCTATCACAAACCCTAGAAGGCTAGATAAAATTTCTTCCTGTAATCTGCCTTTAGGTGTATCTTCTAGAGGCCCTTAAAATGGTGAGTTTAAACAAATGGACACACAAATATAATTCAAACAGAAGGTAACCCAGAGCTAGCTCACCTTATTTACTAAAGGAAGTGGCCTATTTTACTGCTTATGATAGATAATACAAATGCCACCAAATATCAGGAAGAAGAAAAGAGTATTAATGGTTTAAAGAAAGCAGAGCTCTTACTCACAGAGTTAACAAAAACTATAACTCACAAAAGTACTAAATCTTGCTTACTAATATAAATTGTCATCTTTGGGTGATCTGTTAACTCTTTGCCTCTTACACATTCAGATGAAAAGAAATGGGACATAAAGATGTGGGTGATAAAGACTAGACATCTGATTTACATTTAATATGGTTTTATGGGTATGTTTTATAGTCATTAACTAAATGCAAAACTGAAAACTTCTGAACACCAAACACAGCACTCAGAGGAAATGTTCACTGGAGTATTTTGGATTTTAGATTTTCAGATTTGGGATGTTTAATTGGTAAATATAATGCAAATATTCCAAAATCAGAAAAAACTAGGAAATCAAAACACTTCTGGTCCCAAGCATTTTGCATAATGGATACTCAACCTGTATAATAGTATATTAAAGTACAATAAATTAAAGTATATGACTGTGACCTGCATTGCAACAATAGGGAAAGGAGAGACAAGACTATAAGTGAAACACGATTGGCCAAGTGTTCATAATTATCGACTCTAGGTGATGGATATATGGGTAGTTCATTTCATTATTTGCCCTACTTTCTTTATATGTTGGGAAATTTCCATTACAAAAAGTTTATTTAGAAAAAGACAGCCAGTTGCGGTGGCTCACGTCTGTAATTCCAGCACTTTGGGAGGCCGAGGCAGGCAGATCATGAGATCAGGAGTTCGAGACCAGTCTGACCAACATGGTGAAACCCCGTCTTTACTAAAAATATAAAAATTAGCCAGAAGTGGTGGTGTGCACCTGTAATCCCAGCTACTCAGGAGGCTGAGGCAGGAGAATCGCTTGAACCCAGAGGGCAGAGGTTGCAGTGAGCGGAGATGGTGCCACTGCACTCCAGCCTGGGTAACAGAGCGAGAGTCTGTCTCAAAAAAAAAAAAAGACATGGATGTACTTCGCACTCATTATAATGGCTATTAGAAAAAGAAAAAAAGAAACAGAAAATAGCAAATGTTAGCAAGGATGTAGAGAAACTGGAACCCTTGTGCATTGCTGAGGGGAATGTAAAATGGTGCAGCTATTATGGAAAACAATATGGCAGTTTCGGGAAGGGCAAGGTGGCTCATGCCTGTAATCCCAACATTTTGGAAGGCTGAGGCAGACCCAGGAGTTCAAGATCAACCTAGGCAACATAACAAGACCCCATCTCTAGAACTTAAAAACAACAAGAAAAACTGGAAGAAAAACAATATGGCAGTTCCTCAAAAAAATAAAACAGAATTAACATACAACCTAGCAATTCCACTTCAGGTATATACCCAAAAGAATTGAAGGCAGGGGGTTGAACAGATATTTACACATCCATGTTCACAGCAGCATTATCCACAATAGCCAAAAGATGAAGTAATCCAAGTATCCATCCACAAATAAATGGACAAACAAAATACAGTCTATGCATACAATGAGTATTATTCAGCCTTAAGAAAGGTAGGAAACTGGCCGGGCGCAGTGGGTCATGCCTGTAATCCCAGACCTTTGGGAGGCTGAGGTGGATGGATCACCTGAGGTCAGCAGTTCAAGACCAGCCTGACCAATATGGTGAAACCCTATCTCTACTAATAATATAAAAATTAGCCAGGCATGGTAGCAGGCACCTGTAATCCCAGCTACTCAGGAGGCTGAGACAGAAGAATTGCTTGAACCTAGGAGGCAGATGTTGCAGTGAGCCGAGATCGCACCATTGCACTCCAGCCTGGGCAAGAGAGCAAGGCTCTGTCTCAAAAAAAAAAAGAAAAAAAAAGAAAAAAAGAAAGGCAGGAAATTATGACACATCCTACAACATAGATAACTTTGAACATACTCTGCTAAGTGAAATAAGCCAATCACAAAAGGACAAACACCGTATGATCTCACGTATATGAAGTACCTAGAGTAGCCAAATTCATAGAGACATAAAGTAGAATATTAGTTACCAGGAGCTGGGGAGAGGGGAGAATAGGGATTTATTGTTTAACTAGTACAGAGTTTCATTTTAAGAAGATAAAAACCTATTGGAGATGGAAGGTGGTAATGGCTGCAGAACAATGTGATTGTACTTAATGCCACTGAAACACTGAAATGGCTAAAATGGCCACCGAAATGGTTAATGGTCAATGTTATATCCCAATTAAAAAAAGTCTTGGATGATAGCTTTTAGGCATAATAAGAAACTAGTGAATAGCATCAATGAAATAAAATTTTCAAAATTATTGAGAGCTGGTAATGTTCTGTTTCTTGTAA